GAGACCTGGACCTGGGGGTGGGAGGGAGGGGGGAGGCGGTATGGACCGGACAGTGCCTGCCCCATGCAGCTGGCTAGCAGGCTGGCATCCCTGAAGGGCTCTGGGATGGAATCCTTAACTCTTAACGGAGAGCACCGACCGAAGTCCATAAGGATAGGAGGTAGGGAGGACGGTGGGGCCGGATGTGGGCACAAGGTGCCAGGGGAAGGGCCTCCGAAAGGCGAGCCTGGGGGTGCCCTCTGTGTGACCCTGCATCCAGCGCTCACAAACCCTCCCATGCAACAGGGGTCCAGGATGTTGGTTCATCATTACAATAACCCTGTCAGAAAACTGCCATCCAGAGAGGTAAAGTTACCTCCCCAGGATCACACAGCTAGTTAAGAGCAGAACCTGGCTAGACACCAGGCTGCAGACTATCCGGCCAGCGCTTCTGACCTAAACAGGGCCCACAAGACGTGGGGCGCTACCCACCATAGGGGCAGTGCTGCCAGGACGGCTCTGGGGGCTTTGGCGTCCTGCTCAGGAAGTTGCTCAGGGTGGGTCCCCAACGGCCCAGGGGATCATCAGGAGGCATGAACCTGGAAAACAAGCACAAGGGGGGTAACTGCAAGGCCCACAGGCACTCACCACGGGCACCTATGTGGGGAATGGGCCAAGCCACCCAGCACCAGGCGTGGCCTTGGCCCGGCCTCTCTGTCCAGGGCTCTTTCTCCTACCCGGAGGTTGTCCTGCGAGTTACAGCAGCACAGCCCTTCCTTCACTCTGAACCATGCAGAGCACAGCACGGACAGATCCCAGGACAGCAGCCCCTGGGTCCCTTCCAAGTGTTTCTCCTGCTGAGGTTCCAGCCAGCAGTGCCAGAATCACTTAGCAACTCCTTTAAAAATGCAGGCTCCAGGCTTCACACCAGACCTGCTTAATCAGAATCTCGCATTGTTCAGGACTCTGCATGGTAACAACTTCCCAGGTGATTTTTATCCACTAAAGTTGAAGCATAATTACACTAGGATTCCCCTGGGTCCTGGTCTGAAAGTGACTCTAAGCTGCCTTCCAGTGTCGTCAGCAGAAGGTTAGAGACCTCTGTGGGACCACAAACAGCTTCTAGTCCCATGAGCTCCATTTCTCCCATGTGGCCCCACAGCTCTGGGCCTGTCAGGTGGGGGATAAAAATTAACAGAGTTTGAAACGGCTGTCGGTGAGTCAGGGAAGTGGATTCCAGGTGCAGCCTGCACACGCAGCCTCGGTGCAGCTCCACCCTCCTCCTCAAACCCCAGGGCTCTGGGTTTGGCCTTAACCTCCTGGGCTGCTGGACCCCGGCCATGTCACTCTCTGACACCACCCTGCCCCCGCCTGTCCCTTCCCTTCTTCGGCATTAAATCTGAGGAGGAAGGGAATTCATCCTTAGTGCCCAAGGCTCAAAGGGAAAAACAACATTCCTCAGAAGGAAAACTCCCTCATTTAGCACAATCTACTTTTTTATGTGAATACTTTTGTTCCCAGGAGGCACTTCCAGGTCAAACAAAGGTTCCACTAGAGGGGTTGTGGATTCTAATTGGGGGGCCCTGTTTTTATGGGCTAGTTTCCTCCTAAGAGTCAAGGGTCATGCTGGGGTCCCACTCTGCAGACCACATCCACCAGGCCGGCCCCAAGCTGGGCGATCCCTGGTCCGGGGTAGCCTCCATGGCTCAGATCCCAGCTACACAGCCGGCTTCTCAGAGCTGGGCCCTGACCAAGAATCTGGGGAGCCACCCAGTGCAGCTATTAAAAGTTCCCAAAGGCTTCACCTCCTGCTCTTTCCCGGGCCTCACAGCCAGGAGCTCGGCCAAGAGGGCCCTACGGACGTGCCCCGAGCATGGGGCAGGCGTCCTCACCCACAGGCAGGCGGCAGGCTCTGCCCTCTGGCAGCTGGGGACCTTCAGGCAAACCCTGAGCTGAGGCCAGTGCGTCAAAAGGACTTGGCCTGGGCCCCAGGCTGTCACCAGGCCAGAGGCAGCCATGATCCATCAGACCTCAGTGAGGATTTTCTGGATCCCACGGTAACCAGACTCGCCAGATTCCTCCAGGCCTGAGCCAGAGAGAGGAAGCCATCAGCCTGGTGAATATGGAAACGGCTGGGGTGGGACGGCGGGGGTGGGGGGCATGGGCTACTGCAGGGTAGCTGCTGCAACCAGCTGCCCTGGGCCCTAGGAGGCCCCCTCCACTCAGTGGCTGTGGGCCAGGGGTGGTGGGGGCAGCAGTGCCCACTGGAGGCCCCATGGCCTGGCCTGGG